CCCACCACCCACCTTAATGGGCATTTTCTCCCGAGATCGTAGCCCAACAAATGAACTTTCCTGACTCCCAGCACCTGCTTCAAGGATGAAACTCCAGCTCAATACCTCACGATCTCCTCTTCACTTTATGATATGCAGCACCAACTGACTGCTTAGCCGACCTTCGTGTTCCTTTCCGTTTTATCCTGATAGTAAAATTGTATGTCTGAGAAGATCAGATTGTACTTCAGTGGTGATCTCTTTCAGAAAAGTCCGTCCTCCATCTGACCTCTTCTAGACACTGTGCACAGTTCTAGACACCTCTTCTAGACACTATCCATCAAATTAAATGGAAATGGCAACATGAAAATGGGCCATTCAGCCCTTGCAAACCTTGATTGCCTGAAGAGCTATACTGACAATAACAATGCCATCAAAGAGAGAGTAAGGCGAGAAAGGGCAAAACATGAAACATTAATCACATCTATTTGTTTAGCAGTTTGGTTTTTACAGTTGAAGCAGATGGAATGCAATCACCAAAACTCAAACATAAATCCAGAAGTTCCTAAAAAACAACAAAACCCTTGAACCACATTAGAGAGAAAAGCAGCCCTTTAACCTTTTGCATAATGTATGTAAGGATTTCTACCTAGTTGAAGAAACAAAAATGACAAGATATGAACATCAAAATGTTGGTAATGTTTGCGGTGTTCTATGTTTTAATCCCAGCATTTGACATATTAACTAGTGGTGCTGCTAAAACGAATTTGCAATTAAATATTTTAAGATACATTCATTTAATAAGAAAGGTGAAATGAGTCATTGTTCTGAAGGGAATGTCATATTTGTGCATGTTTAAATTTTTGTCTTTTACACTCAGGAAATGTAAATTAACATTTGAACAAATAATCTTAAAATTCCTCCTGAACAATTGTTGAAGGATGGGACTAGTTTAATTTGGGATTATGTTCGGCATGAACTGGTTGGATCGAAGGTTCTGTTTCTGTGCTATATGACTCTATAATTCTATGACTCTTATGTTGCTATTTTTAAAAGAAGTGAAAAGTATAATTTAATAGAATCAGAGATAGTAGGAACTGCAGATGCTGGAGAATCCGAGACAACAAGGTGCAGGGCTGGATGAACACAGCAGGCCAAGCAGCA